TAATAGCCTGAAATAACAGTCCTAATGATGATATTATTATTCTTTAAAAACAGTGTGTATCATGTACTGGGTATATTTTGTGTGCTTTATGTAACTGTTTCTTTTAATACTCATATTTCTTTTCTTTTCACTTAGTTGTAATGCTTTATTATTCCAGTACTAAAGAACTGGTATTATTAAGGTGACATATAGATGATGCTTTAAATGCATCATCTACATGTCACCTTTTTACTAAGTAGACCCACTTACTGGCACGAGGGCACAGTACACAGGGGCTGAGTGAGGCTGGGTTGTCACAGCTGCACAGTGTCAGAGCTGCGCAGGGCCCAAGACACCTGACTCAGACCAGGGCTCTTAAGCCCTCAGGGAGCGTCCGACACTAAGGTGAAGTCCCTGGCTCAGCTTCTGCGGTAAGCGCTCCCTTGAGCCTCACCTCAGCTGTGCTCCTAGCTGCCCCTCCAAGTTCTTCCTTATTGATGTCCTCCGCAGGCTCAAATCTCCCAATGGCCACATGTACAGCCTCATCCCACACATACTACCACTTGTCCCTGCCATCTTCTTCCTTGGTGTCATTTGTTGACTTTTATGATGCTTTTGTGAGAGTCAAAAACATGACATCCCACCTCCCCAGTGACACAGGCCCAGACCAGGCAGCAGGGGCTGGTTAGTGGAAGGAGAAACAAGCAGTACTCAGTGACATGTCCTCAGCTCTACCAGCTTCTACCCTGCTGGGGACAAATTCTGGGACTCACTCTGGGTCTTCCCTTTTTTTCCCTCCTCTCTCCACCCCAAATTCTTTCTACTTTGTTTCTCTGCTTGAGGCCAGTGTCTTGAGAAAGCAAAGTCGTAGGAAGAGGGCCATTTGTTAGGAAAACAGGCCCAGGGCAGAAGCAATTGGGCTTCAGACCCTTTCTGAGACAAGGATAGTGTGGCATGAGGACCAGGATGCCTAAGCCCCCAAAAGTTTGACTTTAGCAATATCAGTGCTGAGCCTGAGCTATCCATAGACTTAGTGGAACACTAGGAAAGGACACTAGAGGCTCAGATGCCCTCAGGCCCAGAGGAAGGTCCAGTGCACGTTAGCACAACCTGAAAGAGTCCATAGACTATGGTGAAAAGACCTGGCTCAGCTCATCCTGTACTCTGTGTAGCCACCAGGTGGCAGCCAAGGCCACAGGCAGAGAAGGAGAGCTGCTCCTGAAACTCAATCAAGGCCAAATGCACCAGCCAGGTTCAGGAAGTCTCCAGGACCTTCATTCAGAGACAGCGTGTGCATGCATGTTTGCATGTGTGCATTTGTGTGTGCATGTGTGCGAATGTGTCTATGCTCTTGAAGGTCAGAGGACTATAGGTAGACACACAGGTAGTCAACTCTTCTTTGTGTCACCTCATCCCTCCACAGGCTCCCATTCCCCCCTCCATCCTGGATGCTGTTGCTGCACAGAGGGCTGTGAGCCCATTCCTGCCTTTGAGGGGCTCCCAGACCTGCAGCCAGAGCTTGGCATCACAAGTGAGCAGACAGCGCCATGAGTTGGCGGGGAGTGTGCGGAGGCTGGACACCTGAGCAGATCATAGGGCACTTGCTTCCTGGCAAGTCTCACATGCAATAATAGCACATGTTGTCTCTGTTTCCCCAGAGGTCCTGCAGACAAAACTGTTACAGAGCCAGTTTCACCAGCAAGAGAGCAGAGGACCTGAAAATCTAAGGGATCTCAGAGCACTGAGAAGTAGACCAGAATTTGAACCAGCATCTGTATGATTCCCAGGCTTAAACTTTTGACATTGTGCACATTTCCAGGGACCAAAAGGTGGAAGGGGGGTGATCTGGGGAGCCCAGACCACCCCACACCCAGATCTGCACATGAAGCAGATGCCACCCTTCTGGCCCCAGAGGAAGCTCTGATGGCTGACTTGCAAGTGAACTTGGCCCAAGAAGCCAGAAAAGCATGTGCCCTGGCCCCACCCCAGAGCCCACCCCATACCCTCTGCCCCGCAGTAGTCCTGAAGTTGAAGTATGTAGCAGCTGATGTCCTATTTCTGCATATGTTACCCTGAGTGCCAGAGAAGTCAAGTCATCTTACAGCTCCTCTTGCCCACTTGGCACTTGCCGACAACAGGAGGGTCTGGAGCTAGAACTCTGCAGCTCCAGGCTGGAGGTTCCTTTGCAATCTAACTGAAGTCAGTGGTGCTGCAGTCTCCCTTCTCCCATGCAGGGCCTGAGTGGAGGATTCCCTTCCCTGGGAGCTTTCCCTTTCCTGGGAGACTTTTGTTTGTAGTAGGAGGGGAGAAGGAGGGGCTGACCTTTTTCGGAAAGCAGAAGTCACCTGCACTTTCTGGCAGAGCAAGTGGAAAGCACAGTCAGTGCAGGTGCCACCGGAAGTGAGGCTCCAGTGAGTCCGGGACTTGCAGGCCAAGGGCATGGCGTAGGAGAACCAGCTGGTAACCGGGAAGACATGCACGGGGAGAGAAACCCTGGACACTGAGCTCCCGTGAAGGAAGGACACAGGACAAGGATGAAGAGACAAAGAAGAGAGGGGCCCAGAGACAGTGTCCTGCAGGGGAAGCAGGACGCCTGGGAGGGATCAGGAAAATGCTCAGGAGCACAGTCTCAGGCAGCTCCGCCCCTAGAGGACCTCTGGAGGCGCTTCGTACCCTTACCCTCCCCCAGGGCCAGAGACGGAAGCGAGCCTTCAGCCCCTCCCCCAGCCCGCGCGACCCCCTGGGGACTGGTCGTGCTGCCCGTAGCTGGTGGGGGGCCCAGCTGGTGTGTTATCAGCCTCCTCCAGGATGGAGCCCGAGCCACTCAACGGCTGCCAGTCTGAGATTAGGCCCCGGGAGGGTCATTAAGCAGCCGCCCTGGCCGCGGCCCAGCCTCTTTCCCTCCCTGATCAGACCAGGCTGGCAGGTGGAAGCCAGCGATAAGGAGTGGGGGTCTTGGCTATTCTGGGGCCGGCAGGCAGTTCCTTGCTCCCGGCCCACCCGGTCAGAGCAGGAACACAGGGTGGGGGCGGGGCTGGAAGGTCAGTACCAGCCCGGCCCTGCAGGTCTCCAGGGTTCCCACGGTCCTAGTCCTGCCCAAACTGAGCGTTCAGAATGGGGAGGAGGAGAGTGAGTCCCTTGCAGCAGGGTGTGGGCACTCCTGCCCCTGGGCCCAGGGCAGCTGCTGGGAACAGGACAGAAGCCAGACCCACCTGCTGACACCTTACAGTGGCTCTGACAGTCGGCAACAAGACTAGGGAACCCAGCTCCACATCCTGGGGACAATGGAGGCAGAGCTGGGGGTGGGGGGTTCAAGCAAAGAGAAACAGATACAACCAGAAAGCCAGAAAGGAAGAAGGGCTTGTCTGTGTCCCAGCAGAGGTCTGACCCTCTGTAACAGCAGTGCACAGTGCCAAAGTAGGCTGCTCATATCACTAAAAGCTCTAGGAGGTTCCCCATCACTGCTCTATAAAATCCTGTCTCTCCTTCAGTAAGTGGCAAGCCCGACTGCGGATCACTTGGCTTTGCTTTCTTGTTTAATCAAAGAGGACTTCTCAGAGGAAGAGGAACCTTGACTGGGCCAAGAAAGAACAGGTGAAGTTTAAATTGGCCGGAGTGGATGAGAAGGTGTGAGTTGCAGAAAGCCAGCTGAGCCAAAGCATAGAGTAGAACTGACTCACAGGAGCAGAAGCCACAGTGGGGTGTGCAGCAAGCCAGGGGAAGCCCAGAGCCAAGAGGCTGCTGCTGCCTGCTCCCTGCTCATTTCCTAAACCCTGCCACCCACCCCCTCTGCTGCCGGGCACACCCCATCCTGGCATCTGGGAATGCCTTAGTACATGTCTCAGGCGATCAGCCCAGACAGACAAGTTGCTCCCTGAGCCTGGCTGGCACAGAGGGGAGTACAGGGTCAGCAGGCCCTGGGTCCCCTCTGCTCCCTCTGCCTGCTCCTTGGTTCCCAGAGCCCCACACAGGACCCAGCTGGGCATTAGTGAGGACCGGTCTCCAGCCAGCCAGCACTGCAGTGAGGCTGGTCAGATCCTCTGGGCTCAGAGCATGACAGGAGCTCTCCCAGGTTCACACAAGTGGTGGAAGACCAAGGACCCAAACCTAGGCCTTCTAAGTCCAGCCCCAGACTCTTTCCCACCACTTGCCATGCCAAAGTCCAGCACTCGCTGCAGAGCTGGCTGGAGACCAGTCCTCGCTAATGCCTGGCTCGGTCCTGTGTGGGGCTCCGGGAACCAAGGAGCAGGCAGAGGGAGCGGAGGGGATCCAGGGCCTGCTGACCCTGCACTCCCCTCTGTGCCAGCCAGGCTCTGGGAGCAGCTTGTCTGTCTGGGTGATCGCCTGAGATGCACACTAGGGCATTCCCAGATGCCAGGATGGGGTGTGCCCTGTAGCAGAGGGGGTGGGGGATGGGGTTTAGGAAATGTCCTGAGCAGGGAGTGGGCAGCAGCAGCCTCTTGGCTCTGGGCCTCCCCTGCCTTGCTGCACGCCCTGAGCAAGTCACTTGGGCTTCTGTTCCTGTGAGTCAGTTCTACTGTAGGCTTTGGTCAGCTGGCTTTCTACTCATAGGAAGGAAGCAGGGATACACCTTGGTGCTGACCAGCACCAGGGGCTCTCTGCCCCCACCAGCACCTGCCCTACAGACAGCTCACCTGTGGCTGCAGCTGAAGGGAAGTCTTGGCTGGAGGAGACAGGACCACCCGGCCTGCAGTCTCCCTGCACCTGGTCTCCCTGCACCTGCTCTCCCTGTCTCCTCGAGTCTCTGAGTCTCCGAGCTCACTTGGGAGCTCATCCATGCTCCATTCAGGCTCCAGGGAAGACACAGCCTGCTTTCCACTCACACAAGGTTGTCAGGCCTCCCCCGGCTGGCCTGCCCCTCAGCCACAGCCCAGCTGCCCTGTGGCCCACAACCTTGCTAGATAATCCTCAGAGACACCATGACAGGGCTTCAGAAGGTGCTTGTCACGACTAAGAAAGCAGGACAGGCCACACTGGAAGCCTGAAGAGCTATTTCTGAGCCCAGACATATAAAAAGTCTTTATTTCACAGAAATAAGGGCCACCATTTCCATGCTCAGGGGGGAGGGTAGGAGCCACGATGGGAGGTACTGAGTTGACTGTCATTTCTGAGTTGGGTAGGAGACCCCCAGGAAGACCCAAGTTCCACAGCCAGGCCCCACTTGTCACCAGCTGAGCCTCTTCCTTGGCCAGCTGTTACTCAGGGGTGTCAGCCCATTCTTTTAGGTTCTTGCACAAGGAGGGAACTGGAATCTGTCATAGGTGCCTTAGAGCTTGAGATGAGTCAGGTCACATAGGGGTGCTGCGGACCCTGCCCTCCTCCTCTAGGATGTTCTCATAGGCATTCTTGTGCTCACTGGACCTGAAAGAGAAGCATGGGCCTGGGGAAGCTTTGGGCCGCTCGTCCTGACCCCTCCTGGGCGTGCAAGAACATTGTCTTCTGGAATAAACATGTGAATCCCACAAAGGCTGTGCACCTGGACTAGAGGCCTCTCCAAACACTTCCCAAGTCCTACTTCTGTCTTCCTCGAGCTCCTCCTTCGCTGGGTTCCACTTATCCTGCTCCCCAAGTTCCCTCCACTACTGAGCCCTTTCCTAAATGGAGTTCCCACACTCCTGCAGCTTTTCACTGACTCTGCCGAGTGTTAAGCCCTCTGGCCGCAGCACCCACAGTCCTAGGATTATGGCTGAATCTCCACCAGGTCCCACCCACTAAACGAGCACGCTCACCAAGCTGAAGCTTTGCCCACTCATGGAGCCCTAAAAGCCCACAGAGCCCTTCCTCCCAGGCCTTCCCCATCCCAAACCCAGCAGCACCTCCTCCTGAGCGCCCCCAGCTCAACCCTGAGCTCATGGTGGACAGCCATGTCTCACTCTCACCTGAAGCCGGCCGCCATGGAGGAGTACCTTCCCTCTGTTCCCACCAGCACCCCATCAGTCTTGTTTCCAATAGTCATGGCCATGGCTCCGGGCTCCCTAGAGACAGGACATGTCAGTACCTTCCCATCCCACCCCATCCTCACAGGCTCTATTTTGGGTCCTGGTTCTGATGAGCCAGAAGTAGAGGCTACACTTCACAAATATACCTCTGTCTGCATCCGGCCTTATCCTACTGAGGTCTCTCAGCCTTCTCCCTGCTTCACAGTGGTGGCCAGAGATGTGTGAAAGACGCATGCCAAGCTCCCTCCTCTACTCCCTAGCCACGCTCAGCTCCACCCCAGAGCAAACCCGCCAGGACCCAGTGCCTGCTCCGCATGAGCAGTAGACAGGCTTGCTGGAGAAACAGACGTTCCACCACACTTTCCCTCTTGCTCAAGGGTAAGCCCACCAGTGTAGACTCTGTCCCCAGAACCCCAAAGGCACATCAGACCTAACATGTCCCCAACTAAACTCACCACTTGCCCCAAATCTTCCCATCTCAGTGATGTTTCTGGCCATCACTCGTCTTTCGTCCCCTATCTGTTCGCCCACCGACTCCCAGGGCCCCACCTCCCAGACAGCTCTGAGACCTGTCACTTCTCCACATCCCCTTGGCCACCTCTGGGTCCAGACTCTATCCTCACTGCATGCTCACTGCTGTCTACACCTGAGGACTGTCCTCACTGCCTGCATCAGCTAGTGTCACACTGACAGACTTTGCACTTGGCCCCTCCCATACAGGATAAAGACCCAAATTTATGCACGAGGCCCTGCTTGGTCCTAATCCTGTCCACTCCCCAGCCTCAACCTCACCTTGCCCTCTCCCTCCCTCCCTCCCTCCCTCCTCTCTCCCTCCCTTCTTGCTGAGCTCCTGTGTTTCCTCTGTAGGTGGCACAGGGCTTCTTCTGACCCTGGCCACCAGGCCACCTGTATGAGAGCAGAGGGAAGTTGCCCCAGGAATAGATGCAGCCTTGACACCCAGGGCTGGCCTGCAAGTGCAGAGCGGGCTTTGCCCTCTGCATTTGTGCCAGGCATAGGAATGCTGCTCTGTCCCCTGCCCCCAACCGACTCCCTGTGCTTCTGGCTGCAGGACAGATGTGCCATCCGGAAACCTTCTCCGACCACCTCAGAGCAGCTCAGGCTGCCCAGTGCAGGCTGCACACTGCTCCTCTTGCCTGTGAGGCCCCCTGCTCTGCAGCTGACCCTCCAGAAGGACAGTACTTTGTCTTCCAAAAGGAAACCCAGCCAGTTATCCTGACTCTATGGATGAAAATATTGAGATTCTGGAGAGAGAAGGCATTCCCTAAAATTCATAAAGAGGTATGAGACAGACAAAGCCCAGGGCCCTCAGGCAGCACTCACGGCTCTTCCTGGCACCAGAAGTGGTTGACAGCAAAAGCGACTGCAACGAGGACCAGGAACACGGCCACTGCGATGAGGCCCTGCATCCAGGGCTGGAGGTTCCCCAGGCCTGGAAAGAAGAGGGGGCTGCAAGGGCGGTCCTGCCCCTAACACCAGGGCCTGTGTTGGAGTCTGTCAGTTGCTGCAGGACCCCAGGGGACATTCTGGAGTCTCAGGGGTGGGAATGAGGGCCCATCTGATCCCACTGAGGCTGGGAACAAGGACAGCACTGGGAAGAAAAGCAGACAGAAGTTCAAAGGAGGCCCGAACAGCCTCCAAGGAGGGAGTGGGGTAAAGGGGTTGCATCTGAGATCCGGGCAGCCCACAGCCTTGCCACCTTCCCCTGGGCCACATGCAGGGCCCTGTAGGGAGCCCCAGTGTCTAATGGGTAGCCCTCTGAACAGCTGGCTCAGGCCTTGCCTGCTGGGCATGGCTGCCCCCCTCTTCTGGCTCAGAGCTGCCAGGTTGGGGCTGGCATCTGGAAGATCCTGTTCTGTAGCCAGAGGCTTCTCTGGGAGGAGCTTGGGAAACATGAGTTCAGCCAGGCAGGGCTCAGAGAGGTTCAGGACTTGGGGTTCTCAGTGAAGTAAGCTCCCTGAGCTTCAGTGTGAGCCTTGCTTGCCCCTCTAGCCAGGTGCCCAGGGCATCAGGGCCAGAGGCCACGTAAGGCCCAGCTGTGTGCCTTCTTGGCTCTCTCATTCCTGCTCCAACCCTGAGGAGCTCCCAGAAGTCTGCCTCCTGGCCACTAGCAGCCCTAAGAGCTCTCCTCTTTCCTGGGTATCACTGTGTTCCAGGGCTTTGTGGAGGAAGAGGTAAGGGTCCTGGGAGGGAACAGAGGTCAGCAGGAAACATCTGGGAGCCCACCTTTCAGATTGAGAGCATCCTCTATTATAAGAGGTCCAAGAGTGAGGACATCGAATCCTCACTCTGCTTCACTCCCACTCCAAAGCCTCCCTGGAGTCTGCCCTAACACTCTCCTGCATTGGTGGAAGCCTAGTTTCTTCTTGGAGCTCTTTCTGAGACTGGCAGGTGCTGAGAAGGAAGAAGGGTGGAACTCCCTGGGCTGTGGCCAGGTCAGTCGGGGCTTAGCACCAAGGGTAACAGAAGATATACCAAGTGGTTTTTCCCCACAAAGACCAGCACTGATACTCATTGGCCCCAGAGAGACAGTAGGGCAGGCCCATTGCTTGCTCAGCTCAGTGATTGCTCAAGCCCTGGCAGCAGTCACAGAAAGTCCCCTCCTGCTTCCTCCAGTCTTACCAGGGACCACAGACCCCTATTTACCCTCTCATGTGGCTCCTGAGTGAGCACACAGAACAAGAGGAAGAGCCTGGGACAGGGGAAAGATGATCCAGATTCTCTCCTTTCTTGACTTGTATGTGACCCCTATAAATTACTCAACTTCTCTGGTCCCTTCATTTCCCCAGAGAACCTTCAAGACCTAGGAGACAGAGCAAAGTAGGTATGCACAAGAGCTCAGGAGTGAGTGCCCTGGATCATCTCTGCCAGGCCTCTCTGGACCAAACAACCAGGCCTAGGCCACAGGTGCAGCCTGGTGGAGCAGGGAGTGTGCCAGGTCCTGGAGTGTGCACTGGGCACACCCCCCTATCTGGCAGCAGCTCTGGGAAGTGGCTCATTTTATGGATGAGAAAACTGAATCTCAGAGTCACAGTGATTTCTTAAAGCCACCCAGCAGGACAGTGCTAAGCTCATGATAGGAGCTGCCTGGGAGCTGAGTGCCCCACTCAGGCCCAAGTGAGCAGAGACAAGCCTGCCCTGCCATGGAGAGGTGGCTTGGGCCTTCACAGCCACACTATCCTGAGTCCTGCCCTGAGGCCCAGCCTCCTCCAGGGCAGTTCCCACTTAGGGACACGGGTCTCAACTCCAGATCCTGCCCTAGCTCCTAGGGCCAACATTTCCCTCACTGGCCCCATGTCACAGACAGAAGCCTGGCTAGCCCACTCCTACACCTTATAGTACAGGTGATGGGGTGTGAGATACCAGGACATGACCCCATCCTCCCTGGGGTCCCCAGTACCCAGCCCAGCCCCTCCTCCCTGAAGCCACCTGGACCATCCCTGTCCTGCACTACCTTGCTGACAGCTGGCCGGTGGCACTGCACTGAGCAGGCCCAGAATGACCATGCTAAGGGCCAGCATGGCTGCAGGCATCTGCTGGGCCTTCACTGCGCTGCCGGTGTCTGGCCTCCTGGAGCTGCGTGGGGCCTGGTGGCGTCTGCCTGAGATTCACTGGAGCTGGTCTGGCCCTGACGGACAGGAACAAGTAAGGAAGAAAGCCAGGGAGGTGGCAGAGGGAGGCCGGGTGGGTGGTGGAGAAAAAGTGCCCTCCCTCCCATGGAAATGAGCTGCCTGGCCAGGCCTCCCTGGAAGGTGCCCAGCCCACTGAGCTGCCATTCGAGGCCACCCTTCAGGGACCAGCTAGCAAGACAGCTGTGAGCCCCGGGGACAATTGGGAAGATCCCAGCCAGCCCCAAGCTTCAGATAGCCCCAGAAGCTCTGCCTAAGATCCCCTTCCCCAGGGTGGGGCTAGGCTCTGAGGAAAGAAGTAACACATTGTCCCTCCTGCCTGTATGAGCGCTGTGGGTGGGGCTTCTTGAAAGGCTGGCCCAGAGATTAAGAAATTGGCTGGCTGGCTCAGAAAGCCAGGGAAAATCCCCAAGCTCAGAGAAGGCACAAGGCAACACACTAGCCCCAGATCCTGCTCTCCTTCTCACCTGTCCCCACCCTAGCCCCTGTGAGGCTGCCACATAATACAGTTTCACTGTCCCAGCCCTGCCCTGCCACTCCCAAATCTACCACTGCTGCAAATCACAATGGCCCAGCTGACCCTGAAAGCCTCTGGAAACCAGGGAGGCCTCCCTTACATGAAATCTGAGCTTAGTCAGAGGCCTCAGTGTCTACCCTCAGATCTGCCCACACCCTTCTCTGGGGTAGCAGCCATGAATATGGTCCAGCTATGGAGGAAGAGGATGCCCCAGGAGGCCCCAAGGCCAACACACAGGAAAGAATGACATTAAAAGAGCCTCACCTGGGCAGGGGAGATGGCTCAATAGAATAAGTACTTCCCTGGCAAGCGCAAAGGCCTGAGTTCAATCCCCGGTTCTGCCAAAAAGAAAAAAAGAACATCACCTGGCCCCAGAGGCCCTGAAGCCAGACCCCTCAGAATCACAGGGCATCACCCCAGCCACCCAACTCAGGGGCTGAGAAACATGCAAGTACCTATTGAGGCTCAAGACCTGCTTGCCCCAACCAGCCAGGAGGAGTACAAGAAGCTGGGAGGCTGAGAGACGTGCTGTCCTCTTTCCCTCCTGGGGCTCGGTGGGCAACGCTGTCAACAGCAAGTCCTGGGCCATGTGTGCAGCCTATTGCTTGTGTGGATTGCCCAAAAGAACCTTAGAAAAGCCCTTTCCAGTGATGTTCAAGTCTCTGACCTCAGGCTGTCCCAGGTCTGGGCTCTAGGCAAGTAGATATTCAGGGTGCCTTAGAAAACTCCAGGGCACAGTGGCCAGCATTCCAGAATGACTAGGTCATTGTGTCCATCTGCACCAGGGTGCATAGCAAGGAGCATGACACTGAGGCTACTTCTTAAAGAAGAGGAGTTTCAGCCAGTTTAATGTGGATGAATTTGAAAACAAATAGCCCAAAAGTGGGTAGCCATGGCATTGAGTTCATCCCTGTGAGGCTCTGTTAGAGCACAGGCCAAGTTTGTGAGGATGACTACTGTGTTAGCTGTTCTTTAATCATCCACGCCAATAACTCCTACTTCCAGCTCTGAAAAATGGAAAGAAGGGAGGAAGGAAAGGTGAAAGATGGAAGGAGAGAGGAAAGTATAGAAGAAAGGAAGGAAGGAAG